ATGACCCGTTTGGTTTTTGGTCGTTGCTTCAACAGCAGGGCAACTTTTTCGGGCTCCCGCGTTATAATAAATTGTTTTTTAAGGCTGTCCAAGTTGGCAATTTTGATTTTAATGTCAAGCCAAACGGAAACGCCCTTAATATCTCCGAGTAAATGTGTGATATGGAGATAAATGCTATGTATGCTTCCTACATATATTCGTCAGTTTTGATGCTTTTACCTCCATAAACGTAAGCACATAATTGCAGCGTTAAGGAAGCAACCCGTGTGTTTTCGTAGTTTTATTAATGTTGCGGTTAATCCCGGGGATAACCTACTAACTAGCTATCTTGCACTGTAGCAAGTATTCCAGTTAAGATGGTGACTTTCCGGTAGATCCCATGATATGCAATTTCCTGTACCAAGGATTTTCAAGATGGTAGTTGTCCCTTGGTGTTTGTCTAGAATGTTTGTAAAGTTATTATGTAGCCAAAACTCTTTATTTCAGATATATCACTTTTAAGTTCCTGTAAGGGTATGGAACATAAAAAATATTCCAGAATATTTTTTTTGTTTCAAAACTCTTCTAAGTAATACAACATGCTGGTGTTAATGGGTCCTACCCTACAATAAAGCTCGATAAAATTTAAAAGCAGAGCTGCCCTGCTGTGGGTGTGTGGAGATAAGTGATTTCAATAAACTAGACCAATGTCAAGTTATTATTTTTGATAATACCTTTTGTAGACCTGCTTTTCTAATGATAGTTCTAACAGTTATAAAAGTATGCCTAAATAATACTTGCTTTTCTACCTCAAAATGGTGAGAAAGCACATTGCCATTTCATAGTCTTCCTCAGAGCAATGCCATTCTGAAGAGCAACCAAAAAAGGTGTGTATATGCTTTGTATACAATGCATTGTAAACTAGAAGTAGGTTAATGAAACAAATACAGAAACATGTTTTGTAGTAAGTTAAAATTGGATTACATGTTGGATTAAACATAAACATGCTGGTCATGGGCATTACAAACTGCACATATAATTGAATTTACAACACACTTATGAATATGTGCAAAGTTCCAGAGTTCCCAGTCTTGATTTGTATTATCCGTTTTTCCATTGTGGATAATGCCAAATCTTTTTGATTTGTGCATACAATGACCTTGTAGCTATAAAAAAACCAAAGTTCTGTAACTGTTTTTCCACTTCAAATTTCAATAGATGTATGTTTTTGCAATTATATATTTATATTTGTACATAGTTCTGTTTCAGTCTTAGAATGTTCAGAATGATAAATTTGTCTATTTTAAATTAATTGTAAATAAGAGGACCATTAAAATTATGTCCTGTTGCCCCAATTTTTAAATTGTATTTTGCAGAATTTACAAAATTCTAGTATCTCACAATAAGTTAGCCTTTATGTTTGCCTATTGTTATTTCTTGTCAATAAACTTCTTTTGCAGAGATTCATAATGGTGTTTTTGAACCCAGTTTGGATTTTTATTTATTCAATATTCTCTGTGTGGCATGACTAACATGATTAATCCATATTAATCTTGACTTTTTATCCATGATTCTGGGTATTTTAATCATAGTCTATTTGGTTAGGTGAACCTGACCTAACGAAGTACAGAACTGTGCATCTGACTTAACCAAAGCACAGAGTATATCCATGAACATCAGTTAGCAGTCAGAATACATGATGAAAGCTTAATGTCATCATTGTTTTCTTATCTTTCTCATATGCAAGCAAGCACAGTTTAGGAGAATATTTAGAAGAGTGGGGAGAAGAAGAGGAAAGTTCAGGTGGCCCTAACCCCAGTTTCCTGGTTCTTTGAACTACATAAAAATATTGTGATTGCTTGGTTCCTCTCAAAAAGAAGTTTGGAACAACTACATTGTTTTTTAATTGATCTTTTCATTTGCTATCCACAGATTTATGTAATGGATCCCCAAGTAAATTTCAGTGTAACCTTCCGTGGTAATAACTTCAACTTCCTTGTATCATCTCAAACCACATGGGCTGATATGGAAGCCATGGTGAGTTGGATCTTTGCCAATTGCAATTCACTGATCAATAACAGTTTTAATAGTTCAGTTTGCTGTCCTCACATCACTTAATGTTTTAAGTTTTCACAAACATCTGGCTTTTTCAGCAGGCCCTAGAATAGGGTGGTCTCCGAGCCCACTTTTGGACATAGGTTTCAGATGAGTTGTAATTGGTCATCCATTTTCCCAATGTGACTGTTAATAAGCTTTAGTTATTTGTTTTTTTCCCTATCTTTGTTGTTTAATTCTAATGTGTAATTTATAGCCTGCTTAGAATTCCTATTGTAATTGAAGTGGTAAACCAACAATTAATAAAATTTGAATGGATTATTTCTGTAAAATGTTAAGTGTATTTATTAGTCATTCATGGAATGATCTCAGCTTTTTTCCTATCCTTTGATAAGCAAATTGGACAAATTTTATTAAAGCAATTGTATTAAAGTCCCCACTCTTCATTAATTCCATAGTTGGGGAAAAGGTTGAAGGCAATTTGACTGTTGCATTGCTGACATATCTATAGTATCCCAGCTATGCAGTAGTTAAACTAGTATAACATTAACATATGTTACAACTTCAACCTTCTCCCTTGATTTATGCACAGCTGTATAACTGCAAGATTAGTACTAGGAACAACAAAATTCTAGCAATCAAATCTAGATATTAATCTAATAATTGGTATAGGATACTAGATAATAATAAAAAATATGTCTAGCTCCCAATAGTGTTCCCTTCATTTTTTAAATGTTATTTGTAACTGAACAGATTTTTTGGACCAGCACTTAACATTAAAAGAAATGAAAACTATTATTCTAATCAAGATTAAATGTAAATTTAGAATTGCTGTAGGTATTTAAAAATGGGCATGGACTTGCATGTTTTTTCTACAAGTGATTTAATTCAATATTGACATGTTGTTTTGTCCTTTGTATGGAAATCTTTAACTTGCTAGTATACTTGTATATACTCATTTTTTTCACAACTTTGTACACTATATTTTTTACTGGAAGAAATTCATGTACTGCATATTAAGAATTTTAGTTTTATTCTCAAGTTCCCCAGAATTTTTTAGTAAATGTAGTGCATCTGTTAGATGAAATTGTTTACTTGATTTATTTTTAGTAAATCTGAAATTTGGTTTAAAACTCAAGAATACCAGGTAGGGGAGGTGAAACTAAGACTGCCAAAGTCACCTTTTGATTAATGGGGAAGATAGGTATGTGCATAATATTCTAAACAGCTTATAGACTTATTGATTGGGATGCAAAGCTTTGATTCTCTTAAGTACAACATATATATAGCTTGGATTTGAAAAAGTGGGGTAGAATTGCTCTTCATTAACACTTTTGAGATATCAATAAAAAGAATTAATCATTGCTGCTTGTTTCTCATTGTCATGGAGGAGCCATTTCATTAATTAATTTCTGTTGTAGGTAAAAGTGTCATTTGGACGGAAAGATATCCAGATCAAATACCTAGATGAGGAACAGGATGAGGTACTGGACTTCTATATCCCTATGAAGGCTTCATTTTAAAAATAAAAAATGTAACCTTGTACTTTTGAAAGAATAGAACACTAAAAAGAACTTCATATATATTTTTATAAAGAAGCTTTTTTCTCCTTGCAAAATAGCTTCCAGTCAATATTTGTTCTGTATTGTGTAATAGTTTCACAGATTATCTAATTTTTCTGACATCTCTCTAGAGGCTTGCTTACCACTTCAGGATCGAAAAGATTTAAAAAAAAAATCAGATAGTCTTTGATTTATGATCCCAATTAAGCTGTCATCTTTAAAATGATACGCCATAACAGTGAGATGGCAGCATATTTAGGCCAGGGGAAAGACAGTGACTACATTTTGAATATGGTCTAACCAGCAATATTTGTTGAAAGAACTTTTTCTACAGTCTTAATTTGCATGGTCTTGTTGATTTTATTTTGAACCATGTAGTTTTTAGTAGGAAAGCAGGATGGGGGAAAGATCTGTATAATAAAGAAATAAATGTCTGTAATAACTATAATGTCAGAAGCTGAACTACTGTTCTGTAATGATCATGGAAAAATCCTGTTATGACTATTATTAGCAGCAATTTAAAGCCTCCTTTCATGGTTTCATTTCTTTTCACAGGTATCCATCAACTCAGCAGGTAAGTTGCCTTTGGCTGACTCATAAAATCTGTTGAGTCTTGCTGTGGTGGTGTGAATAAAGGCAGCGATATAAATAAGGGACACATAGAAATAATAGTACTGAGAAGTATACTTTTGTACACAACATAACATGCCTTGTTTTCTCCCTGTAAATACTATATTCAGCTATTATCTAGTTACCCAGCATTTGTCTATTTCTACATTAGAATGGGGGTTTGTATCTACGTTGTCTTTTAAGGAGGAGGCTGAACCTAATGTCTTCAACTCTTTATTCTGTCATTTCCTAGTATGTAAAGTTTATTAAGTTCAACATTTATGAAACATTTAAATTTTTTCAAAATTAATTCAGAACTGAAATGTGGATTGATCATATTACCTAGGACAGGGCTGTCCAGCTCGCGGTCCGCAGGCCAGATGTGACGCTGACCAGGCCCATTCCTGGATTAGCGAAGGGGTGAAAGTTGTGATATGTCACATGACGACACAAGTTTGACATCCCTGACCTAGAACATGTGATTCTTCTTGGGTTTTTTCTTTTAAATAGTTTGAATATAGAATTCCATTACATTTGAAGATATGAAATTAATGACATGGATTGTACACCATAATAAAACTAGCAAGTCCTGCAGAATGTATTATTTTTTTCTTTCCTAAACTTCCTTGTTACTGGATTTGGAGTTGAGGGATGAAATTTGTATCAAGTTATAAGAAGGAATTACCAAAGCAGTAAAATTATAGTGGGCCTAAATGTGATTAAAACATAGTAATTTATTTACAAATGCAATTCTGGACATGAAATGTTAATATTAACATGATTTGTTTCTCTCTTTAGAAGAATATCAAGAAGCTGTTAAGGTAACAGATTAGACTAATTTTTATAGCAGTACAAATCAAATCTTACAGATTTCTTAATGCGTCTGAGATTTTATTCTATTTTATCTCAGATAATAAAATCATTTAAATTAGTCCATACTGGTCCAGTTCCAAGATACTGAAGTTCTTTTTAGTCAATACTGTTTATCTATTTTGTCATAAAGAGCTATTCTCTGGACAATAGCAAATTATTCCTATAATTACTACCTTCCTCTTCAGTTGGATCAGAATACATCTAAGAGCTTCAGTTTTTATATTTCTTTCTCCACATTCTTTTGGTTGTTCTGTTAGTTTCTATATTCGTTTTAAGCATGTAGTCCTTTTTTGTTTTGCAACATTTCTGATTTTACTTGTCTTTCTTGTGTAGTTACTGTGTGTGAAAGATTATTCTTACTATTTTCATTCTCAAAGGTTTGTTTCCTAACTTCAGATTTAGAGAGTTTAGATTTTCTTTTCTGGTCTAATTCCTGTATGATGGATATATGTCTGGTTGTGGAGGTTACTAGCTCTCTTGTCACAGATGGAGAAGTTGCAGGAGGAGTTTTGGCAGAACCACTTAGTATCCCAGTTGCTAGTTATGAGAAGACTTAAGGAAATTTCTAGGAAATTAAGAGTGAAGTGATTATAGAAATAATTACATAAAAGAGGAAATTGGTTTTATCTTTTGGGGCCCTTAGAAATTAGGAAAAACCTCATGTATATTGAGTTTGAAAAGATCCATTACTGATACAACATCCATCTGGCTTGATCAGTAGTCAATTTGCAATTTTAAAAAATCCTGAGAAAACTATGACCTTAGTGCAGACCATCTGCTTTCCTTCCACCAGGCATTTCAACCTGTCACAATGCTAATTTTTTAAAAATTTCAATTCTCAATAAATATATTAGTTTAGAAAGATAGGATTGTTTTTAAAATAACATATAGTTCATTAGAATGACTGTCCATGTACAAATAACTTTACTGAAAGTTTTTTCTACCCCCACAGATTGCAATGAAACAAGGCAATCGGCTCCAAATGAACGTCTATGAATTACGAGTTCCTTCAGGCATGTCTTCAGGATTCGTTTTTGGGAGATCTGAGGAACCGTTTGTTCCAGTAATTAAAAAGAAGCTCCCAATTGCTCAAACTCTGATAAAAGTCAAAGATACTAAAGAAAGAATAGATACTAAAAGAAAGAATAAAAGGATAAAGGTAAAAGTAAAAAGACGTGTTTTCTGACATCTGGAACTATCCTGTCAATTATCCATTAACATATTTTTCTTTCTGGATCTTTCTGTCTGAACTTGCAAAGGTGTTGATTTTAATTGCATTACATTGTGTGGCAATGCTTCATTCTGTTTTAATCAACCTTTATCTTTAGATTAAGATCTTAAGATCTAAGGTGAATAATGTATATATTAGTTTATGTAGATATCCTCCTGAGATATATACAACTTAGGGATAGTATATTGAGCTTAAATGCGTGGGTGAGATAATTATTGAAATTATCTCAATTTTTTTCTAATTATACAAAAATAGAAAAATACACTGATAATTTATTCAAGGTCTGTAGTGTATTAATGATGAAATGTTTTGGGTTCTCTGATATTTATTCAGAACTGACTTTTCACTTGTCCTAAAGTTAGTCTCTAATGCTTTAATTTTTCCCCACATTTTATTGCTAATTGTTCTTGTTTCTTTTTACAATTTACTTCATTTCTATAAAATTCCTACAAAGCATTCACGAGAGAATGTAAGTATTAAGTGGACTGCATGGTATTTTTTCTGAGGGGTAAATATTTTCCTGGTTTTTGGAGTACATACCATTCTTCACATTTCAGAAGAAATGTATTGAAAGAAGATTTATTTCTTACAAATTATTAACTGAATTCACTGCTCCCCCCTGAATATATCATAAGTTTTAAAGTAGTTAAAAGCTGAAAAAATCATAAACTATTTTCCAAAACCACTAGAAAAATGTAATATCAAAATATTCAGCTACATTTAATTAACTAGTTAGTAATCCATTATATGCATTCAAAGAGATAATGCTGTTTAAATTATGCTAAAATATCCTCAGGTTTTTATGCACTCTACCAGTATTCTTGGCTATTAGAAGTAATAGGAGAGGTTTTGATTTGAGCTTTTAAAATTTTGGGCTGACTGAACATATCTGGCAAATTTCCAAGCATCCCCTTGAATACCAACGCCCAGGTCACATTCTGTTCTGCCAGAAGAATGACATTGTTTCTAGCAGCAAGCCTGGTCTTATTTTTAAGTAAAAATACCAAATAACAAACAAACAATATGGCAAAGTCTGAAGAGTGCCTTTATTTATTCTCTTAGTCTTGCCAAGTTCAATATGAATAGGTACAAGGAAGTTAGTTGTATGTTAAGTTTTGCTGCTATGTTTTTTTCAATCTTTCTAGAGTGAGCTCCTTCTCAGTGAGGTTCCTCCTGAGTGGTTCACAAGCTACTTGGAAAAGGTGAATGTGGTTTCTTTTATTATTTGTCTTGTTATGCAAGAGGCCTTCAGAAAAGGCATGGGGAGGCAGTGATTCAAACAGAGTTGGAGACTAATACACCTCTCTTTACAGGTAAAGAAAAGGATATTATTCATCATGGGTAGAGCTTCACACACAAATTGATATTTGGTCCAAATTGGCAAAACCCAAATTTCCTAGTTGATTTGATTTAAGAGGGCAGTTTTTTTCCAGCTTAGTGTAATATGGTCGGGAGGTAGGAAAAATCAATACATTCATCTCTCATGGTTGGTATATGATAACTGGAGGCATACAAGGGTGGTTGCCCAGTATACACCAAATTATTAACGTGTATATTGTATGCAGTTCTATTTTTCTTCAAGCCAACTTATTGCTTGTCCATTCTAGTGGAGTACATGCCTCAATTCTGGGAATGGGGATCAGAGCAAGAAATGAAAAGTCAGGATGTTTTTCTTTCTCTCTGCCTTTCCTTTTACAGTTCCGGGAGCAAGTTGTTCAAGACACTGTTAAAGTACTGGAACAGAAGTTGGATGACAAACTGCTTCTTACCAACCAACTTCCAAGCTCCATGAACACCTCAAGACACCAAATTCCTGCAAGTTCCTTGGTGCAAGGCAGTTCCTATGACTGGCTGCTCTCCTGTAATAATTGTCAAAATCCCATAGTGGGGATTCGCTATCAATGCAGGTAGGACACAGGCAGGGGTATTAAGATGCAAATTTCCATGGTTTTCCAGGAGGTTAGAAATTGGTATTCTGCGGTTTTCTAGTGACATTTGTTTGAGATGTTTATAAATGATTTTAACAAACATGGTTTAATCATTATATAGCCAAAGTGAAATCATGTGGTATCTCATGCAATCAAAGGTAAAGTTAGTGATATTTCTTAAATAATTGGAAGAGGAATATCAGTGATTTCCACATCCTTCCTCTCAATAAAATTTCTTCTTAAAAAAGATACAGAAATAATTAAAATTTAAAACACTATATAAAAATTTAGAACCAAGGAGATGGACAGCACAGGGATGAGATTTTTTTTTACCTCATCACTCTTTTCCAGTGGCTCATGTCTCCACAAAGCCAACAGGCAAAACCAGGTTTTCATACACTTCCAGAAGGGCAGAAGTGTGGGAGCTTAAAGGGTTGAGGCAATAGCAGAAAAGGTTCTTTCCTTTGTCCTGACAGCTGTCCACACAAAATGTTCTACAGATAAAACTTTTTATTAGCATTTTTTTAAGCTTGTAAATCTATTCCCTATTCAGTTTTTCAATCAACATTTGAGAAAATAAATCTACGGTTTCATTTTTCTTTCAGAAGCTTCACTGGCTCATAATTCTGCTTTTATATCTTTTCCTAAGATTTCATCCAAATATGTTGTACTTAAAAATACACTGATATCTCAATATACCAGCACAGCTAGGAAAATATTTTAGCAGATAACTTAAACAGTTAACAGAAGAAACAGATCAGTAATTCACCACATTGCCTTTCTTATTTTCCCAGTGTTTGTCCAACATATAACCTCTGCGAATTGTGTGAAGCAGGGTTATATTTCCATGACTCTAACCATGTCTTTCTAAAACTGCGGAGGCCCACCTTGCATATTTCAGACACACATAGTCTTGAGCAGCTGTCATCTTCTCTAGTCACTTCAGAGAAAGTCAGGTAAGCAACCAACTTCCTTGCTTCCATTGTGAATCCCTTGAATTATTTATATTTAGAGTGCTCATGATAGTGAATATACAAACAGTGAAGAAATCTCATGGAGGAATCAAAGATATAGTTAAGTTCATATTAACCTGGGAAATTCAACATCTGGTTCATCTCCATGCCTTTCTTTTCCCTATTGAAATGGAAAAGATTCCATCTTCATATTGGACAAAATTATAATCTGATTTAAGACGGAAGAAAACAAGCAGACAAACATTTTAACAAGGGAATGCTCTGTTGTTCAGGGAGAACTGGATGATGATTGTAGATGCCCTACTGAAATGGACAAAGGCCAGAATTTCTGATAGGCTTTGTTTTGCAGGTAGTAGATGCTGCCTTTGTTTGGCTTTGTTTTATTAAGCCTAGCCAAAAAAGCTTGCAGATTCCTTAAATGACTTTTACTGCTGAAAAGATGGCAACCAACAAAACGGTATTTGGATGTAATGAAAAGGATGGTTGTTTATTGCCAGTGGTCCCCGAATCATGGATTGTCCGGCTAACTTAGGAGACATCCAGCTCCACATATTTTTTATTAGTGGAGAAGCAAAATTGATATCTTATTTCTAATTGTTTAGATTCCAGAAGCAGATGGACAAGCATTTCCTGAAAGCAGAAAAGCAGCGTTTAAGGGGAGAAAAGCAGCAGCGTAAAGCTGAAACACAGGAACTCCAGAAGCAACTTAAATTGCATCAAAAGTTTAAACTATGGGACTCCGTCCGTGCTCTTGACCACACTAGTTTGGCAGTTACAAAATCTGAGAGCCTACAATCCAGTACACTTCTGTAAGCAAGCCTGGACCTGAGTTATGTTTGAGAAGCACATACTGCATATTCTGTGTTGGCTTTTACTGGACTATGGGCTGCTTCCCTAGTCAACTCATGATTTGTGCATTTCTAGTATTTTCAGCATCTTTAACTTCCTACTTCTCTATAAAAATACAGTTTTAAGAGACCGTTAGACAAACTGTGATTCATTGGGTCATCATTTCAAAGATACCTCCTTAACAGAGTAACAGAATGACCAAGAGCAAAAACTGTGGAATTGGTAATGACTTTGATAATCCTGCTGGCTTTACCATGAGTAATCGCATTCCAGCAGCCAATTGTGGGGAATCAGTGTACCCAGCCTGTATAATGAACCAAAATAAAATATAAAGGGCAGAGGACAACTTCATCTTGTTTTCTTCTGGATATCACAAGGGGTCTCAGATTTTTGGTAGGATAGCTGGTTGAGGTACCTTGGTTAAAAAATGGTTGTCCTATGATGGTCTGTTTTGCCCAGTTAAAAGTTACAAGAATGAGAATTTCAATAGTATATAGGTTCATAATCCCAGCTTTTCCTAGTTAGCTAGGTATATTGGGTTACTGCTCCTAGAATACCTAGTTAGAATGGCTAATGAGCCTGCAGATTTGAAATTTTACTGATTTTTCTCTGGTTTCCTCCATTTCACAGTTCTATGCAGCAGTGCCCTGTTGTCTCCACACTGAGTGCTGCTTTTGTAGACGAGAATTTACCAGATGGAACTCACCTCCCACCAAATATTATCTTCATGAAGCATTGGCGTATGAGGAACACAGGCAACATTACATGGAGTTCAGATACCAAGGTGTTTTTCAATGTTTAATTTTTAAAAATACATGCTAAAATCTAGCTTTGGCATTGAGACTGCTCCCTTTCCTCATCTCCTTTAGCTTTTTCTGCATCAATATTGGGAAGGTACTTTGTAAAATGCATTAGTACTTCATTGCATGTTTTGGGCTGAGTCCAGTAAATATTGGATCTCAGGAACGTAACTTGCTTATTTACACAAAGGTTTATTTTAAACTCTTCATCACCTGCTTTGGAGTTTTGGCTATGCTGTTAAAAGCAGAAGCTATGGTTCTGTGCTGCTTTGGTTGCTAAGTAAATGGGAACTGAAGGATTCATTTTAAAGAATCAAAGATCCCAGATCACAGAACTGTACATGTTCGGTGAATTGTGATTTGTCTCTTAAGTGTTATTAGTCCGTTTCATCATTGCTTGTCTCCAAGATTATCTAATAATTTTCTCTCTGCAGCCCTAGAGATTCTTGAGGAATGGGCTTCTATGTCCCAGATACTTAAATGCAGGATTCTGATGTCGTCTTCACAATAATTTTTCTTCGTGTTGCGTAGTGCCTGAGAGCCACAGAATGAAACTCAACTCAGAAGTTTGAATCTCTGTTTACTAACATTTACTTAATTGAAGTCTTATAGGACATAAGGCCTAAAAATATTCATTTATGACCAATATGAGAAATTTGCATGTTTTGGTGTTACCATAAAATAATTTTCTCTTCGTATTTCAGCTAAAGTTCATGTGGGGAAACATAACTCTGATGTCTTCTGGAAAAAAAGATGTGATTGTGCCTTCCTTACTTCCTGGGGAGGAAGGGGTTGTCTCAGTGGAGTTTAAAGCCCCAGGCACGGAAGGAACCTATACCTCCCACTGGAGGTTATCACATAAAGAAGAACAATTTGGACCCCGGATCTGGTGCAGTATTGTGGTTGACGCCTCTTCCCCCACAATTTCCAATCTGCCTGACCATGGCAGATTGATGCCTAGCTTTTGCCAGAATAGTATGTCTCTTTTCAAAAAAGAGGTAATGCCCTCATATACCTGGCTCTATTTAAGACTGTGGGTTTTTTCTCCACCTCTCCCATTTTGTAATTGTATTACATCTCTGCTTTCTCTCTTTTTGCCTTACATCTGTATTGTCTCCAGTCAATGGCCCTCTTCTTTAATGTGCATATTTTCCTGATTCAAATAATTTTAATTCATAGAATCAATCAGCTAATTATTCTTTGGGCTGTTAGTTAATTTGTTCTAACAATTTGAATCTGCTTGGGATAATGCTGGGATATAACTGTGCTATAGATACACCTCAATCAGGCTCAAAATTAATTGAAGACCTAGAAAATAAAAAATAAAAGTGTGTGCACCATTGCTTTTCCTGTTCAGCAGATAGAATTATATGTTCAGGACAAGGATTTGGTCAATAATGTTCAGTACTTCTATCAGCTGAAAGAGCAGGAACTCATCGGCAAAGTACATTTTTAAATTCCAAAGTCCTAAATTCAACCCCTAATGTTTTCAGGTATAACTGAGAAAAAAGAGATCTTGATCAGAAAGCATAGAAAGCAGTCTGCTAATCAGTCTACACGCATTGAATATTATGGGGATTGCCATCCAAAACATTTGCAGAACTGTTACAGATCTTACCAGAATCAATGGATGAGTATGACTGAGATTTCCCAAACAAAAATAGCATCCTGAAAACATCCTAATCTATTTAGCCTACTAACTTTATTCTAAACTAATTGCAGGGTGGTGATTCCATCAAGGGATATATTATTTTTAAGCAAAATATTTAACTTCTGAATGAGCAAAACAATGGGAGAAAGTACTAGTGTCACTTATTTTATAAAATACAAAGATGTATTGAAGAAATACACTTTGCAAATTTATTTTGCATTTTTGTTTAGCTGAAGAAGCATTAAAATAAGATTCTCTATACCAAATATTTTAAAGAGATTGTCTTTTTTATATAATCTAGACTAACAAAATGAAAATGTAGATATCAAGGTAGTATGGAATATGTACTGCAGTATAAAAAATGAAGTGCCCGAGTAAAACAGTTTGACTCAAAATCACCTTGGAGCATCCTTCAGTATTACTTCTTTTCTCTATAGGAAAGCGCTTCAGAATTTAAGGGGGAAGTAAGTTTGGCCAACAGAGTTGCTTCATCAGTGACGAAAAGAATCCTCAGTGCTAGAGAGTTTTACATTCCATCACTTGATCTTCTCACAGCCCAGGTGAAATGTCTGGTACAAACCAAAATTCAAAATGGATTCAAAGAAAAATGTTTATTCCATAAGTTTTCTCATTGAATTGTTCATTTTTGTTTTCGTCCCATTAGGATTTGCTCTCCTTTGAATTGCTGGACATTAACATAGTGCAAGAATTGGAGCAAGTCCCTCGTAATACTCCTGTTGGTAAGTTGTGATAAATATATTCTCATCCTGCTTTTCCAATATAGTATGTCTAATTGGCATTATTGGATGCCAAGGCCCATACTTTTTCAGTAGAGATTCCCTGCAGGTGCCTGGAATCTTCTGGGTCTGCTGCTGCTTTTTGCAATTACTGTGTTTTGCCTGTTCTGTTAAGCAGTGTGCTATTTACTTTTTGTGGAAGATTTTGAGGTTTCTCATAGTATGGAACTGTAATGAGATTTTAATTTGTAAGGCTTAGTCCCCCCATTTGTTTCCTCAAGGTAAGGATAGTTGGGTCAGCACTGCTACTCTTTATACTCTAGGCCAACATATTAGGATGTATTTAGCGTATTATCCCTGACTCTAAATGACAATCAACCTGAACAGGATAAATATGTGGACCTTTCAGTTCGTATGATATGTGATGCTCAGCTAATCATGTGCCAACGCATTTCTCTCAACTATTGGAAAACTTTAATTCTTTCTATTTGGTTTCAGGTATGTTTAGTCCATACCTGCTGACCAGTCCAACATTTTCCTACCATCTGTAGGAAGGAAACCTTAAAAATGGTTTCAGAAATACAAAAAAAAAGTTATAGTTCTTCCTTGTGGTATCATCCTTATCTTGCTTTACTAGATTCCATACAAGGTCCAAGCCCATACAAAATCCAGGACTCTACTTCTCTGCCAAAAACAACTAACTTAGACCAGAAACAAGAAGCGAATGAGAAGATCACATATAAATTACTGTCTGGTAAGCAATGAAAAGTACTGTGATGAGCCTAAGAATCCCCAGTTCTTTCACTGGATTTCCTTATGAAAGTAGAAGCCAGTAGTCTTGATTGAGAACTGAATGACCAATCATTTTAATTGGCTTTATTATTGACAATCTATTTTGCTGCAAAGCTGCTAACTTTAGAATTTGGAAAATTTACCAGGTAGTTTTAATGATACTGGCAAATGATTTCAAGGTTGTACGCACTTAGTCAAGTTACATTATAGAACAAGATTATCTAAATTGCTTTCAACAGATTTACCTAGTTTGTATTTTATATCTTCAGCTCTTTTCTTACAATATAGCCCCTGCTTCAGGATATCCTTCATCCTCTGATAACCAGGATATACTTGGCTCAACCTAAGTCTTTATTACTAGGCCTGTATTTAAATCCTATACAATTTATAGACCTAGAAATTTAGGTGTTTCTATTTTTTGTATAAAAGCTGCCATATGCAGGTACTGAAATCTTCCTCCAAATCGGACTCTTGAAAATTAATGTTTTGTGAAGGCTTTGTTCTTGCCATCCTATAGCTTGAAATGGTATTAGACTTCCTCTTGATATATCTCATTGCTTGAAGTACTTACATTCATTAGGTAAAATGAATTAGATAAAAAAGGACTACCAGAAATGAAATGCAAACTCAGTATCTATGACTGCTTTCTCTATTCTGAAATTTTTGGTCAATACTGCCAAGAATATTTAATCTCATTTTTAGAAGCTCAAGTCAGCAAAGGGAAGGCTGAAAATTCAGGGAACCAAGAAGAAGGAGAGGAAGATATGAGTGGAACTCAATTTGTCTGTGAAACAGTCATTCGTTCTCTCACCTTAGATGCTGCACCTGACCATCAGCCCCCACAAAAAAAGAAGTCTTTTCAGAGTGAGCGCTTTCAAATATTTTGTTAAAAATCTAGCATATTCAGAAAATACCTCCAGTGTAATGTATTATTTTCTCTTTTTTGTTATTGTTTAGATTCTCTGTCCGATGTTGCCCACTGCAGCCCAGAGAACAATGATTCCATTAACCCTGTGTCTGTATCAGAGGAATTAGAAGGCAAAGTACCGACTCCTGAATTTGGTAAGTCTTGATGATTAGGCTTTGCTTTTCTGAAGAGTTAATGAATTGAATGATGAAGCCATTATGGAAAGGACTGCAATGCTGACATTTATGGTGAAACACTATTTCCTGTCTCCTGCCAGGAAACCTCCCAGTGCAAGATGGTAAAGAATCAAAAGGAGGAGAAGCTGACAATAATACTCAGGGTGAAGTCAATAGTCAGGCATCTTCTTTTTCTGAAGATTGTATCATCCTTCCAGAATGTTTTGATACTAGTCGTCCTCTGGGCAAGTCAATGTACAGTTCAGCACTCTCTCAATCAAATTTAGAAAAGGTGACCATGGCTCCAGCAAATCCTGAAGAAAGCCACACATCAATCAGTAGTACCAGTGATACGTTGATTACCTCTCAGACCCTCGATGAAGTGTCACTGACCACCCCTCAGAGTGGGGAACCACGGCTAATAAGGTACCAAGTGAACCAAGAATAATCCAGGATCTTAAGATATCATTATTTCCTATAATTATAAGTAGCTTCCCAAAGAGAAATGTTGATTTCTGAGTGTACATACCAACCGAACTGTACACACAAATCTAAATGAAAAAAGAACCATCAGGAATTTTACTATAATAGATACATTATATTATAATAGATCTACCTGAATGTGTAGCATAGACCAGTATCAATTTTCATTCTATGGAACTTTTGGTACACTATTATAAATACCTATTTGTTGTTCTCTAACAGATATCGGGCTCTAACAGATATCAGTTCCCAAGAAGCAACTTTTCCCATTATAGAGGAAGCCCTGTTGGTTCCTATCCAGATAAGAGAAGGTATTGTATTGCAATGTTCTACATGATAGACTGTGAGCAGGAGTTTCTAACTGAAGCCCTTCTCTTAATAGACTGCTGCTCTCCATAGATTTATGTATATTATACGTATGTACATATTATTTTTATTAAATCGATAAATTTTAAAAATTTGATTTAAATAAAACTATTCTCTATTCCTTCTGGAGCACAAAAATAAGTTATTTTCTCTTTTTTTTTCTGTTCTTGCTCTCATGTACTTTTATTTTCACTTTTTTCTAGAATTACAGAGAGATGATTCTGAGGTTTCATCTCCAGAAAACGTAAATAACCCATCAATGTATCCTGAATCCTCTAGGTAAAAAAAAAAAATCAACCAGATTTCATCATGATGTGAATAGCAATTGATTTTTAGTGAGATTTTTGAGGTGTCATTAGCCTTTGTTTCTTCCTTTTTCAGAAATGTTGATTTAACCTTACAGCTAAACAAATGAATTGAGGCTTTTAAAAAACTGCACTACTGAAGCAGGAAGCCACTACTCTGGCAAAAGAAACTAGAGCAGACAAATGTTTTTAAGAGATCAATCTCACTAGTACTCACTACTCTTTGGATGAAAATGTTTATTTTAGTTCCTGACATCTTCACTGAAAATGTTGGGTCACTGGAATTGAAAACTATTGATTGTTGGAGTAGGTTGTTGGTGTGCTGGGTGGATCAGCAATCTGATACAGAAAAAGCCCTTTCCCTATATTTGTATGTTTTCAACTCCAATTTGATTTGCAGACATAGCCCAGGAAATAGCCTTGCTGGTGGCCTGGTGAAAGGGGCCTTATCAGTGGCTACCTCAGCTTACAAAGCTTTGTTTGTTGGGCAAGCCTCCATGGATCAGGTAAATAGATCATCTTGTCATCTTATGAGACTCAGGAAACATGCCTTTTCTATGGCAGCCTCTGCTCTCTGGAACAATTCCTCCCAGTCAAATACAACAGATCCAGATCTTAGAGTTGTTAAGGTCTGGGTAGCTGATGCATTAGAGGCCACTTGAGTAAAAACCCTCTTCGTTTATTATGTGCTTGGTCGTCTTTTTAATCTTTATATATTTGATTACTGTTAATATGATGGGTTTTTTTTAATTATTTGTGTTGCATGCTACCAAGTCATTGTTTAAAGTACCTGGCCTTATACATTTAAAAATAAATATAAATCATGCACTAATAATGAGAAGAGTAAGGACAGGAACATGTATATTTTGTAGTTTCACAATTAATCCTTACAGATAAGGATACAGCAACGTAAAAACCAGGTTGCTAGTTTTTGTGAATGCAAAGATAAGCTTGAGAACTGGGTGATATAATGAATTATTACAAATGAAAAGAATAAGAATACTGAGTATAGTAGAAATTATTCCAATTTAAATTTTACTGGGATGACTGTAGTTGGAGAATTCTTAGAGTATCTGAGGTGTACATAAATGTTTGCTGTATGCAAATTTGCATTTATATGTTTGTTTCTTTATATTGATATTTCTGTATTTTTCATCCTTCCAGGCTCTTTCTGTAACCAATGAAAATCAAATGACTTCATACCTGACTTACCTACGTGAAATGGGTTTCTGTGACAGACACCTTAACCTCCATCTGTTGCAGAAACATAAATTTGACATGAATCTTGTTGTCACTGAGTTGCTGCAGCTGAATTGGGGTGATCGGTATGAGAACCCATACTGAACCTTTTTCACTTGTATATTAAAAAACTTAACAGCAACTGGCACCAGCAGCTTCTAGCTCCCTTCTGTCTAAGTAGAGCCAAGATGGTTTCGCTTTTATTTTTCAGTACTTTATAATTCCTACCATCTCTATTATTCTACAGCTCAGGCATTAGACGCAGGGGTAGGGAAACTTGGCTCTTTTATCACTTATGGACTTCAACTCCCAGAATTCCTAAGTGAGCCATAAAAGGTTCCCCATCCCTGGCCTACTGGTTTTTCAGTTGTGAGAGAAATCAATTTTTGACTTGAATGGGACTATTTAATACACAAATGTAGGACATATGTCCTACATTTGTATATTAAACAGTCCCGTTCAAGTTAAAAATTGATTTCCCCCACAACTGAAAAACCAGTAGGCCAGGGATGGGGAACCTTTTATGGCTCACTCAGGAATTCTGGGAGTTGAAGTCCATAAGTGATGAAAGAGCCAAGTTTCCCTACCCCTGCATTAGAGTATCTAAATGTTTTCCCAAAACTGGTAAATGCCATATTCTAGATAGGAGAAAAGAAGTGATTATGCTTCAGAAATATAAGTGGAGCTGACCTTAACAACCAAAGTAGACTGTTCTCTACTTTACTTCTCTTCTGGTTAAGCAATACTTTTATCCCACATTTAATGTTATGTGTCTTGCCAGACACAGATATTATCTGAAAACTCTACTCCTCATTAGGAAGATTCCATGCAAACCCACAATTTCATTTCTTGGTTATTTCCTTGATAGAAGTAGAACTGAATTGGCTATGTGAATAAAAATACAAAGATGTAGCTGTTTATATTATATAATTATTGAGAAAAAAAATATTGATAGTGACTGTTCAAGCTATTTGAAGGGTAAATAATCAAGACAAATTTGAGTGTTTAAAATTATTTTTGTAGACTTTTACCAGCCAGCAGTATTTGACAGGAGTGAATACTGCTCTCTCAAGCAGTATTCCTGATTTCTCTACCCAGGTGTTAGATCAGTTTGAAGTCCTAAAAAAAGCAATATTTTTAACAACTCCTCAGCTTAACTACATTACTAATATCTAATAGAATTTTTTGCTTAGTATGTAAAAGAAAGAAAAAACAAATATATGAATGAATATTTTAGGAAAATATATGTCTCTGTTAATCAAAACAAAGGACTCAAGAATCAATAGGGAATTTCTGCCTATATCCTCCTGAAATAAATAGTGTAAGGATTTGATACATTCCTAAAGGGTTTACACTTGTTGATTTGACACTCAGGTATTCCTTTGATTTTAATTTCATATAGGAAGAAAGGAATATTTGTTCATAAAGCATGTGAACAGTAATGGGATGTATAAAAGTATAGTTTTTCTGTGATTTTGGTAGGAATTACAATAGTAAATGATTGTAAGGGATTGAAATGAGAAAAGTTTCCTAGTGAGTCAGGATGAGGTGAGGACAAGCTGCTTGTGCTATGATTGCTTATTTAATAAAATGTGTATGCAAACTGAATATCTCTGAATGGAAGAGTTTAGATTTGCAACTTCTCTTGGGCTGATGAGGAAAACCTTTAAATTACTAGGTAGATCTTCATATTTTTTTTAAATTACTTTGAATTACTTCAACCAATGAACTTCTTGTTTCATAAAAGGTGAAATATTCTTCTATTGGCTTTGTTTTATGAGAAGTTGCATGAATGATAATTTAAACAATACTGATATTAAGATATTGTTTATTGCTTAGATTAAGCACTATGGTCTTTTGAGTTGAAAAATAAATATTAAAAATGCACATTAGGTTTGCCTTTGTGAAAATGTGTTCTTTAAGTCATATGGATTGCAAAAGAAACTTCTAGTAAAAGCAAAAGTGTTTCCATATAAAATACATCTTCATGCTAGATAGCAACACTTGTACACTGAGGCACATTTATTATTATTTATGCCAAGTGCATAGGTCCAAAGATTTCCTGATCATTTGAAAGACGTCTCTCTTGCTCTTTAGAGATGCTGACACCAGTTACCTATTGTCATAACATAACTGAATTGTGTGTATTTAATTTAAAAAACAGAGGTTTCTTTTATAGTATACAAGGAGAATAAGATGTTGATTTCTTTGCCAGCTCAAACTTTCATCCAGTTTATCAAGCAATCTTTAAAATAAATTTCTGAGCATATCTGGTATTTGTACAAGTTCAGAAATGTGGCATAAAAATGCCATGGCATAAAAATACCAGTAATCTTATTTAGGGTCTGATATATACTGCCATATAACTTCAGGAACTCCCAGGTCGGATAAATAAAGATTTCTCTTGAATTAAGTATTCTGGAAAGGATTCATTAAAAATTATGACGAGGAATAATTTTGAGATTGCCATCAAGATGAACCTCTTGACATCTGAGTAACCCTCATCTTCTTGAAGCCACTGACTTTAGCCCAACTCGAAGAAAGTAAGATGCAAAGCTTTCTGCATGAACCTTAGTAACTGGCAAATCCCCTTGTTGCTTCTATACTTCCTGTATAGAAAGAAGCAAAAGCCTGTTTATTATTCCATCTATATAGTATAATTCTCTGGGTGGAACTAGTTTGAAGATCACTAAGTACAGGCTAAATCCATGTTCCTAGGGGCACTTTTGCAACAAATGGTCTTCCAAGCGAGAAGGTCTCTTAGGTAGAAAAAAAAAGTTAAAATATATTTATTCAGGGCTGTGAGTGCAAGTCCTGTGGAACCAAATCCTGAGGCCAAATGCTGAATAGAAAGCAGATTGCAAGAGAAATTCTAGCTACATTTACCTTCCAACTTCGCCTAAAAACCTACATCACGCAACTATTAGAATAATTGCAGAAGATTCTGGAACGAGGAAATTTACCAAACGCATTGAAAAACTACATAAAATCCAGTACGCGTATTTACATTCTAAATTTAAAATGAAAGGGAACTAGCGTCTCTGAACAGCGGAGGAAGCGAAGCGAGTTCAGACACGCTTCATAAAGATCTTTGTTAAAATATGGAGCGAAATGCTAACCGATGGAAGCACGATCTCTATTCAATGGAGTATCAAAATTACAAAAGCACTTGCACCTTTTCCAAGGACCAAAACTAATGATAGGCAGGATAAATTATTAAAATAATGTAAAACGCGGAAGGCAGACGCCCAAGCATGTGAGCATGCGTATTTACAATAAGCCACACCTTTTATTTAACGCGACTCGTATAGGCCGCGCCTGTTATAGCAGACTTTGGCATGGGCTTACAGCGCGTGGGAAGGTTGGGTTAGGTTGGTTAAGCTACGAGCTTGGGAGCTCTTTTTTTTTGGAGGAAGTTTTGCTGTTTTAACGGGCTTCACCTCCGTGCAATTTTGAAATGGATTGATACGTTGCAGTACAATCCACAGTGATACTTAGGGATATTTCCAAGAGCACTTTTACTGTCGAATAAAGAATCACGTTGTAAGTCACAAGGTTCATTTTTTCAGTCAGTGTTTCACTTTGGCACCTCCCATTCCCGGAAAAAATATGCGGATCTGAAGTCTGCTGCAACTCGGGGAGAAAAATGCACCTTAAAGGAACGACTGAAAAAGAAGGGAAGTGGCGGGTGAGGGTGGAGCTGCTTATTTCCCATCTCTCGCAGGAGGGTGGGAGTCGTGTGAAGGGACGAAGGCTGACACCATTATAGTAGTTTTTTTTATTTATTTTATGTTTCATGACTATCATTGGCTGAGGAGTCCTAAGGATTTAGCACCTGTCTCTGGCCTCGGCGGGATACGGTGAGCACATATCCTGAAGTTCTTCAGAAACCTTTCCAACGACCCGCATATGACCTTCCTGCCCCTTTTTAACCATACTGCACTGTTTTCCCATCCACCCCTTCCCTCACCTATTTATTTTCCTCTTCTTTGCTTTCGTTATTATTTTCTTCTACTTTTTTAACCTTTTTGTCTGTTTGTTTTTCTGAAATCTTGCTGGGCCGTTATGAGGATTCAAAAACATTTCTCTGGTTTCATTTCCCACTTCTTTTAGATAAGTGGTTTTTAATTATCTGTTGTTTTGCAGCAAAATAATTTGACATATGCTAACTAGAAAAATGCCCAGTTGAGAGAACAAGGGAACTTGAGTGAATTTCCTATTTGCTTGAAAGGAACTAATGAGGTGTGGGGTGGTGTTTCTTGTGAAGCAAATTCATTAATTTGTACACTTTTCAGATTGCATAGCGGAATGAGAAGGCAAAGTTAGTTCCAAGATGGCAATCGATCAACTACTGTTTTTAGCAACATTTCTCAGACATGAACAAAAACTCATATTAAAGCATAAGCTTTGCAGCTTATGCACTCTAGAATGCTGTTCATATATAATTCTCAGGATTAATTTATAGTCTATTGTGCAAAACCTAAACATTGACTTAATGGAATTTTTTTAACAGCAGTAATGTAAAAACAGCTTTGGTTCCTTGTTTTTTCCCCCATTTCATCATTGGTAGGTACAACTCTTTGTTAGATAGCTCCCTTTTGCCCTTCAGCAATTTGATGGGATCAATAGTTGAAGTTTTTCACAGCATTATTGTCTGCTAATATTTTGAAGTTACCATATATGTTAAAGATACAAAACAGTATTGTAGAGTTCTTATTAGATATGCAGTCTGACTTTCTGAAGAATCATGAAAAATGTGAGCTGTTTGCAGTGTATATAATAGCTGATTTATTTTAAATACAAAACTGAATTGTTTCAAGTGTAGATAGTTACAAATGATAAATAGAATCAATTATTTACTGTGCTTTATAAAATATTTATAGAAGACTAATTCAAAGACAAATTAGCTACTTAGCCAAGTTTTTATTAGTGTGGGCTGCTCAGAGTTGTGTTTAAAGTGGACGGCCATTAAAAACTTTTAAATAAACAAAACCTTGAGCTTATAAATTTATAAACAAATCAAGCTGAGGATTAATTAAAAATAGACAACAAGTTTCAGATTCATCAATCAATTCTCAATAGGATAATACAAAAATAAAAAGTCCAAAAATTAAGTCAAATGTTTGTCATAGGGTAATTAAAAATTAATCTCAAAAAAAGAAATGGTGGACCAAATGCAATAGATGATGAAAATATTAGTGTCAGTTACAGCTAGCATTCAGGAACAAAATAACTGCTTCCTCTGAGATAATTAAAAGCCATTTAGTTTTCAGTCTATTTTGTGACATGAGTGAAGTCCACAAGCTTCTGACCAGCCAGAAAGTAGAATTAAAAATTACAGTTTTTGTATTAGCAGAAATGGAACATAATTTAGGGTGGTTTGTTATATTACAGACAGTCAACTAAATTCTATCTAGAGTTGTAAGGGAGCAACACTTCAGAAAGAGAGCCCTCTTAAATAGAAGAAAATTATTTTCGTTTGAATGTTGGCTTTATTCTATGAATCCTTTTTCCAAAAAGGTTGCCAGGCGTAGTACAATGCAATCTATGATTACACCATAATTAAACAGAATGCCTTTTCTGTATATAAGTGAACTTTGAAAAAAAATTTAATTGAAAGGGATTATTTTTGCAAAGTGGGATAGATTCAGAAAAGAATCCTCTTGAAAGAATTTGTACTTAATTGTGTTATTTATTTATTCAAATTTTTGCCAATACATTTGAGCTAGAAAAAATAGTTGGAGCTATGGTTACCTCCAAGTTTTCTTCTGCTATAATAGCAGTTTCCTTTTTTAATGCAGTCAGAAGAGCTAAAATGTTATCCCATTCAGAATTAATTTTTCTAAAAAATTTGGAGAAAATTTTAAGTATTGTGTGCATTACAATACCCCCTTTCTTTCTTTTTCAATTTTCTTATCAACTTTGTTTCTGCAAAGCATGGTGTTAATTAAGTAACTAATCTTCATAGAGCAAATTTGAGCATCTGATAATGGCTGGGATCTTTATCCTTAGCAAATGCTACAAATTGTCCTAGCACTCCTGATGCATAGCCCAACTGGAATGTTTGGGAATGATCCTGAGAGCTGTCTTTCTCTTCTGTCAGGTAAATGTCATGCCCACTTAAATTCTACCCAAGAAAATGTTTTCCAAGAAGCTGGATCTCTGCCTTCTAATTGTTGAAAGAAGTAGAGTCTTAAAAATAATAATATTTAGATCATAGTCTATGCAGTATTTTTTTTCCTGATTTCTAGGCTAATGCCTTAATTATAATGCCAAACTGGATCTCTTTTCTCCCATTAATGTATAACAAATCTGTGGCTAATCTTAAGACTGGAGATGAATACTCACTTTTTTAAAAGGTCAAGATGATTCAAGTGTTTTTTCATTTCTTTTTAAGTTATTGCAAGTTCTCATTAATACAACCAATGTTCAACCCAGAAAGCCACTGGGACAACTTTGGGTCAGGCACTTTCTTTCAGGGCAACTTACCTGATGTTGTGGGGGAAAATAGGAGGGAACAGTATATTTCCTGCCTTGAGCCCCTGTATAAAAGACAAATCTACTCAATAAATTATATGAAAAACGATGGTGTACTTAGTAAACAGTTCTCCATTTTTCGAAGTGTTTCTGTTCTTGAACATTGAACATCCTGTTCTTGATTATTTGTTTGAACTTAAAACACCTGTGTGTCACAGGACTGAATTAAATGGACTAAATTGCATCAATTTTACTATTCCACAAATGGTTAAACTTGGGTAGGATAATGCTTATGTATTAATGAAATTCCACAATTAGCTGAGCTTAAAACCATAAAGCAGCATTATCAGTAATTCAGCCTCACATACCTGGATGCAATGAATTCCTGGAATGTGGGGAAAGCTTTAGAAGGGACAGGTTTTTCTGTAGAAATCACTGATTTTAAATATGCTTTTTAAGATATGTCTAAGTCCTAAACTCAGGAATTAAGTGCTGTTTTATAGAATCAAAAGTCCTTTTTATGCTCTGATTTGTTAATGCTGCTTGTTTGAACCAGAGAGACAGTGTTTATGCACAATGGATAAAGCCCCCTTGTGGTTCAAGAACATGTTTACCAGAAAGGAGACAGAAGAAAGCAAATCGATTATGCAGAAAAATTCATGTGCTGAGAATAAAACATCCTGTTATGGCAGCATTAATGGAGCAGATGCTTCTGAGGTGTCTTGTGTTCCTTGTGGTAACCATACCAGTCGAGGTTTTGTCACTTGTCCTACTTGCCAAGGCACTGGAAGAATCCCCAGAGGTAGGTATATTTTCAAGACTTGTTTTGCAGAGGTGACCTGACCTTGTTGATTGACATTTAGAGTCCAACCAGGTCCCCTCCTGTTTTGTGTATTGTTTAACCAAGAGATGCATTAACTGGACTTAGTAATACTATATAGACCTGCTTTGGCCTGATTAAAATTGCTACAGACAGACAGGCAATTCTCATGTAGCTTTGCAATTAAAATAATCAGACCCATACATTGTGCTTTGCACATGGGGAGGCTTTTGTTAAATTGACAGATCCCAGCAGTTCTGGCAAATTTGAATTTTCCTAAAGATTTGCTTTCCCAGATTATTTCCTCATTTTTCTCTCCTCTATTGTTCTCCTTCTAGAGCAGGAGCAACAGTTAGTGGCCCTCATTCCATATGGAGATCAGCGGCTAAAGCCTAGACGGACGTAAGCACAGTCTTTTTCTGTTGAACAAATTTCTCTTCATTTTCTTCCTCTGTTTCATCATAGTAGAATTATTATCCCCATTTGTTAGACGCTGCTATCAGCGATTGCTATGTATGTTGAGATGGGAGGAACTTCTGCTAACACTAACTACCTGTGATCTGTTTTGGCAGGAAGCTGTATGTATTTCTCACAGTAGCCATTTGCCTGCTGACAACTTGTCTCATGATGTACTTCCTGTTCCCACGTTCAATTGCGGTGGTCCCCTCGGGTCTCAATGCCTCCACCATCTCTTTTGACAATTCTACTTCCAGCATCATCCTGAATATGACTGTAAGTTTAAGGAAGAGAGTGACAGAAGAGTGAGTTGGGGAGAGACATGGACCAGATTCATCTTATGAATCTTTTTTTAAATTCATCTGAGATTGAATATAATTTGTATGCTGGCTTTAGGAAGCAGGAAGAGAATATTGAAGGGCCACAAGCTGAAAAGCATGTCAATTCTTATCTGGAAGCCTCTCTTTTGTGTCAGACTTGATTTCATTGAGAAGCCTCATCAGGGTTGTGCTTGACCTGGAGGTGGGGTTTCATGTTGGGGACACCTGTGGTGGCCTGAGCACTCTTCTACTGTTCCTGAGTTCCATTTTCGACTGCGATGGCCTTCTGCAACCCTCTGCTAGCTAAAACAGAGCTTGTGAGAACCACATGTGGCCCCCATGAGGTCCATTTTTGCTGGCAGAGGCACCATGGGTCAGTCCTTTGCTGTTTCCAGGATGGCCCCGCAGGCCAGATCTAAGCACCCCATGGGCCAAATCTGGCCCGTAGGCCTTGAGTTTGACACCCCTGATAGAGTTGCTCATTTTTCAAGGAAAACTTGGTGAATAGAGTTAGGGATAATTTTTGTCAGAAGTTCTATTTTAAGACTCAAGACTAGTGGGTAGAATAGCTATTGGAATAAACTTTGCTCCCAAATTAAATCTCAATCTTTTAAAACAAAAGAATAGATGATTAAATGAGATTAAAAGGAATAAAGTTTAGTCAGTCTCTTTCTACTTCTTTTAATCCAGGCCAAGCATTTCATTAGCTTTTGTGTGAGTGTGGTTCAATCTCTTTTAATCAAAACTTGAAACATGCGAATAGATAGTACTCAAAGAGAAGAAATTATATGTAACATAGTACAAGTTCCAAAAATCTTGTGTCTTTTTTAAGTGGTTATTTTATCATAAGTTTCATCTTCAAAATGTTGTGACTGGTTAACACATTACTATTTGATCTAATTTGTTTTTTTAAGGAGAAGATTTAAAAACCAGAATGAAATAAATGACCTAGTGAAATATCTGATCCAAGAATTACACATGATACTCTTAACTCATTTTTTTTTTTAAAGGGATTTGTGGGGTTCATTCCAGAGGATATTTTGCACAATAAAAGAAATACATAGTTAATAACACATCAAGAATTTATTTCCTACTCAGAACAGCTGGGGCATGAATGAGGATCTCAATATTTTTTGAACTCTTAGGTCATTGCTAACAAACCTTCTGACAAAAGGAAAATCTAAACATTTGCTCATAATTTGTATTGCAATCAAAACATAAAAATAAAATAAATTGAATTGAATTACACAAAAAACCTTGTGTTATCAAGCAGTAATTCAATTTATTTTTTTTCAGCCTTGAACTGCAATACTCTTCTAAAAAGTAAATATTTTGAGTACTTCATATAATGGAGTCTAAGATAATGTGCCAAAATGCATAGACATGTATTCATCCATAGAAAATGTCTGAGACTTGACAGCCAATTTAATTCTTGTGGCAAAGATGATGCTCCTCAGATATTGAGACTATGGCACCTAAACTAGCATAACCTATTGATTGGGTATAGAAAATTGTAGTCTAAAACATCTGAAGAGCCTACACCTGATGAAAATAGCAGAATCAGAATTCTTTTAGGAAAGAAAAAAAATCAGCTCATTAAATTCATGTTTGTTTTGAGGAAGAAGAAATTGAACTTAATTATTTTTATATATGGAATAAAATATAGTACATATGTGTTATATTGACAGATCAATCCTAATGGGTATTTTCAATTATCAATGTCATTTTCTTAACCTTCTTTGTTGAATAGGTTAAGTTGTACAGTAAGTATACAATATATACTCTCTCCTTATTTAGCAACCACAATCCATTTCCTAAGTCAGAAGAAAAGTGGTCACTAAGCGAATATGTAACAGAAAAAGGGAAGGAGGGAAAGGGGGTAGGAGGGAGAAGTGGGGAACAGGAGAGAGAGAAAGAGAGAGAGAGAGATGCTGTGAAGATGTTCTTCATGCAGCAATGCCAGCATTACTCCGGCACAGAAATTTGGTCATAATGCACATAATGATGGGGGGGTGGGGGGATTATAAGTCCTATTTGCAAACAGTTGCTAAATTCACTAAAACTGCTATATAGTTCTTTTCCTTTGATTTCATGGTGAATGTGTGCTAACGTTGAATTGCTAGCTTCTAACAACTTCTAATAACTTTATCATGAGGTACACTGTTTAGTTATCCAAAGGAATACCAGAGCAAGTGCGTAAAGATGAAATTGCAGTTCCCATAATGCTTTCTTTCTTCCCTCTATCTCTTTGTCATAATCTCTGCACAGACTCGTATCATCAGCACAACAAGTAGCTTAACAGCATACCACACCCAAACATAAAATGTATGTTGCAGACATTCAAAGCAGCATTATGCTACCAAGAAATAAGCACAATATTATTTCATGTGTGAAAATACTGCATACAAATGAATGTGCTGAAGAACACAGAAAGGACCAAGCTGTCTTCTATAAGCCTTCAGCTCATGGACACAATGAAATTGATCGAAAGGAAGCTTTTCCTAATTTACTTTGGGTTAATGTTGCTCTGCAGGGAATGCACAAGCTTTATACAATCACCTGGCAAGATCCACGGCTTGGAATAGTGTCACAATAATTCTTAGCATACACAAAATATAAAAAATACGTCAGTTCCATGTTCTGAATAAAGTCTTTGCAGAGGTTATGTAGAGTTGTCTCTTGTGGCTTTTAAAAAGATAGAGCTAAATTTAGTGAGTAATATACATAGAAAAACCTTCATCCAGGGCCAACTTTCTACTTGTCCAGATCACTACCACAAAACATTGTCTTCTTTCCTTTTGCATTCAGCCACTCATCCCCATAAAAGTAAATGACTATCTACTATAGAGGTGCTGTACTGTTTAAGACAGGAATCACTGGGGCTGTGCTTCACATATGATTTCAAAAAAAGTGACTACATGATCTTGGGAAGAGACCTGCAGATGTGGACTGTGTTTAACCACCAGTGCACTTTTGAATTAAATCTGAAAATATGCACAAACCTGGAAATCATACAATGTTTCATGATGTTTTGATATATCTTAAAAAGTAACAGCAACAGAAGCAGAGTTTTAAGGGCTAAAGTTGAGTATTCTTTTATGAATGCAGAGTGTGTGCCAATTTGTCTCTTTTTCCTTACCACCTATCCTCCTTCTCTTTAGAACATATTAAATGTGACAAACAACAATTTTTATCCTGTGTATGTGGCTCAGCTTGACATTGAAGTCTTTCATAAAACAGTGGTGATCGGGAAAAAAATGGTGATGACTCAGTTGGATATCAGGCCTTTGCAGAGTGCCCAGGTGAGGACTTGAAGGGATTTACTAATTTGTCTGAACACAAACATGAATACACTTTGTGGTAACTTTCTCTTTCTGGTATATTTTTAGATCCTTTACAGTGTTTCTACTACAATCATAGATACCAACACTTAGTAAGTATATCTCTAAGAAATGATCCTGCACTTATCTGATTTATTTTAAAATAATGGTGTCAAAACTGAAATTTTACTTGTTTTGACAATTACATATCCATCTTTTCAGTAACTAGTTGATAGATTTGTATGTTGCAGAGTTAATGGAGATGCTTTTAAAATATTTGGAGGAAGAAGTTCTTTTTCTTTCAGATATATTTCAGAGGAGAAAAGACCTGATTCTAGATCATTTTGGCAATACAGAATTGATTATCCCCATTGCAGTAATTTAACATCGTCAAAAGCACTTCAGATGAACTTGAAATCCAACTGTATTTTAGAGTTTAAAAATATTTAATTTGATTAAACATTGCTTTTATAAAGTTCTGACAATGCCAATTCCATGCATAGTCAACAAATAATAATCCTTAGTTTACAACAAAACCAACTGTTAAGACTTTAGATGGATATACCTGCAGTGCTCCAGAATCTACAGTTGTGTTTATCCTAACACCTACCATGGCAGCATTAAGCTACTTGACTCCTATGTGTAAGTTAGATGGAAATTATGCCATCATAAAAAAACACTGTTCACATTTTAATCCCTTCCTCCTCTTTGTTCACCTTGATGGATTTGTATTTTCCTACTGAAGTGTTGGTCCCAATTGTGGGTTTACCTCACTTTGTTTCTTGCCCCTGTTGCTGGAAAAACAGGCACATCGCTTTTCTTCCCTTTGGTGGGTGTTTAAGGATATGTGGATTTCATTGATACACTGATACATTTCACTTCAATTCTTGTACAGTACTCGAACGTCAGTTCTTGTACAGTACTTGATATTTTCCCATCTGATGCCTTCTTCGGTCCAGTAAGGAAACAAACATGGTTTTATCGTTATTCTTAATACTTGAACTAAAAAGAAAAGGAAAAACCCTTGTCCATGTCACTTGATTAGAAGATAAGATGTAAGAGAACTCCACCATTTCAGTGCCATCAATGAGCTTGTAAAAACGCAAGCAAGCATAACCCATTCACATTTATTTCTGTCCCTTCGGATGTAAGGGGAAAGTAGCAAACTCTAGTCAAGTTCACTTAGTTAAAAAAAAAGGTCCACCTTTAACCATTCCATCTATGAATTATTTAAAAATGCCTAGCTTTTCACATTTCCACTGATGAATTTGTCCGTGAATGTGTTTATGGGTGTCTACACACACACACATAGACTAAAAAGTCCAGCCTTTCACCATTCCATAGTCCAGCAACCCAGGATGAAATAGTGGATGAGGCTTTGTTGAGGATGACATGTATTTCTGCTCTTAAGAGATATTAATGGCCTATCCTTGACATAAGGCAACCTGGTTGGCAAATCAATCCTTAAGGATTTTTCTGGTTATTTTCCCCAAGATACTTTATGGATGCCAGGAGTTGAACATACAAATTTCTGGAATATACCCACTTCATTTGTAAAATCTAGAGAAACTAGTCTAATTCAATACATACCATAAAGGAATAGTAAAATACAAAATTAATTAAAGCATGGTTTTTCATGTGCCACGTAATAACAGTGAAATTCCCCTTCATTATTTCAGCAAAATTTGTACATGGATGAAAATAAAAGTTCACAATGTTCTTCTGCATATACAGTAAGTCTGAATCTCTTTTCTGTTTTGTTCTCCCCTTATGATAGCTAACTCCTGATCTGGTATTTGTATCTTCTAATCTAAAATCCTAATTGTTGGATGGTTGATTTACTCTGTAGGCCAATATTTGAAATGCGCATGCTTTTAATCAAGACAGTCTTCTCTAACTTAGATAGCTGTTTCACTCCTCGTTTAATCATTTCATCATATCAGTAATCAATGTAATTAATGTAGTTTCTATTGTGTTCCTAAAAATTATATCACTTCTTTTTAAAAATCATATATTGGTTCTCTCAATGATGACTATTAAGCTTCCAGATCTGTTGTTAATTTTACGTTCTGTCTGCCCTTTATCTGTTTCAAAATAAATCATTGAGAATAAAGACTGGGATATAAATTATTGGTAGAAGTGACAAGGAGGTATCATATTTGTAAACATTTTTTAATTACCAAATTCCTATTTTTCTCTCCCACCAGAGGTACCTTGACTTGTTCCTATCTCTCTCATTCGGAGCAACTCTCCTTTGAAAATTATCAGTATGTGGATTGCAGAGACAGTGTCCTACTGTCTTGATTCTAAAGTCTCTCATGGCTACAGTAGTCCTGGAGGAACTTATTTTGCCTGTCTTCAATGCCCTTCAGAGAAATTGCAGTAGCCTGCTTTTAATGCCTCTGGGGACTTGTAGTGTGGGAAGAAACTGAAGTTTTGATTTTATGAACAGGAAGATGGCTATGGTAACACATTCCTTTTAAGGTAGCATATAATGATGCTAATGGACCAGCAATATTCTAAAAGAATGGCAGAATGGCACCCGAATGCAGAAAATGGAATGCAAGAACATGTGAACATGAGACAGTTATACTTCATATTGGAATTTCAATGGATTTATAGGCTGCATGGATCACAAAGTGGCTGCTGAATTTGCCCTGGTACGTTTATTTCTTTTGGAAATTACTCCCTGGAACTGGGATTTCTAAACAATGAAACTTACCAATGCAGAGTTTATGGAGGGCTGGGAGCTGATCTGATGCATTTTCATTTTCCAAGAACTATCTTCTCCCATACCAATAAGAGGAGGAAAACCTGAACTTTTTGAAGGAGGCACTACCACTGAATTAAGGTTGTACTTCTTCTCCCACTTGATTTTCCCATGTCCGTTAGTTCAGCTCTTTTAGAAGGGGGGGGGGGCTGGCTCACAAAGTCAAAATTATTGCTCTGTTCAAATGCTAACTTTTCTAAATCTATTTTTACTGTAGCATTATTTTCTTGGATTCTTTTTAATTTTATTAACTTTTTAAAAGCATAGAATGCAAAAAAAAAAAAAAACCAAAGAAAAATTTAAAAGGTTTACTCACTATTGGAGCTGAGAGGCGAGTAAATTCTGAAAATATTTTCTCTTGGACCAGTACCACAGTTCACATACAAAAAAATGACCTATAAAAAAATGAGTATGCCTTGATAGAATTTCTGGCCTTTAAAATTAGGTAGTTTTGAAGCAAATATGCAATGCTGCCTGGTGATAATATATAGTAGAAAAGACTGGTGGATAAGAAAAATTGGTCACTGGAAAAGGCAATTATTTACACATCTTTTTAAATAAATACTTGTGCAATACTTCCTAAATTCTTTCAAGTTTGGTTTTATTTGCTATTCAGACTATTTAGTACTGCAGTGTAAATATCAGATAGGTTGGGATCTAATGAATTTTTCCGGGCTGTACTTCTTATTCTTTTTTATTACAGCTAATAGATTAGATACCAATAGTGGTTTATTTTCTTGTTCAGGATGATCTTATTTCCTCTTCCTTCTTCTTCTGAATAAAGCTATTTTGCTACAAATAATCATGAGACAAATAAGACAATGTGTGCTTGGACTGCTTCCTTTTAGCTTCTCTGAAACTGGAATTGACAATGGGCAAATTAAAAACAATTGACCAAGACTGTGAGGTGGGTTTAATATTTTTTTAAAATATATTAAAAGCCAACCCACGGTTTCAGTCAACCAGAAGCAATAAAGTGAGCAAAAGAGTTTGCAAAAAAGAAACTTACAAAATTTGTTCAACTGGATTTTTTGGTGAAAGCCTAGAAATAAGGAAGGGTTTTCCTGGGTAACAAAGCCTGCTTCTGTTTTTAATTTCTGTTCTGAAACTTCTGTTTTAGTTCATGGGCAATTACAGAATAGCAATGTCTCAGCAGTGCTAAAGGGCCTACCGTGACAACTTAAATCTGTCCTACCAGATTCTTTCCCAGTCTTTTTCAAACCTGTTCCCCAAAATGAAAGAGATAACAGGCAAGTTTGGGCTGTGGAAGTTTCAGGGAGAAAAGTGGGGAGGGGTTATAGCAAAGTTTCACATAAAGGCAGGCACTGTGGGTCTGTGACTTCAGAGAACTTTTATTATACTGTCAGAAGAATTCCCGGAAGATTAATCTTGACCGTATGCTCTGGCAGATTTCAGCTCAAGACATGTGGCATTTTGTCCTGCAGCAGTTACAGAACATTTCTCCGTGTTGTTTTCAGCTGTATTGTTACCACTGTTGTATGTAGTCTAAAGACTAGAAGAGAAAATATAGCCCATTAATCCCTAATCCAACACCACATCCCATCCTACCCAAAGCCATATGTTATAGTTAGAACATGTTGGAAGAACAAATCTGAAGATGGAAAAGGCACAAAAAGGAACAAAAAGGCGATGGGTCATAGAATCTCTAAGAATGAAGCCACAGAGAATGCCAGAAGCCTTATAGAGAAAAACACAGGAGATAAAGGAGAACTACTTGCATTAATCACAACTAGTTGCTTTAATATCCTACCTAAAGTTTCAATGCAGAAAAATCCATTGAGCTCTACAACACCACTTATCTGGTGGTACAGTGGTTAAAATGCAGTATTCACCACAGCCTGGAGTTTGATCCTGATAGGGCTCAAACCTTCCATCCTTCCGAGGTTGGTAAAATGAGGATCCAGGTTGTTTGGGGCAATATGTTGACATTGTAAACTGCTCAGGGAGTGCTGTAAAGCAGTGGACTACTGGTGGTCCATGAGAAAATTTTGGTGGTCCGCAGAAAAGCTATTTGCATTTTTATATTGCACTAAATAGGGCCCCTGGGCTGGATACGTGCAATGAACATTTGTGTTGCTGCAGAGAGGTTCACCTTTCGGGGTCTTTTTGTGCTGGTCGGAGGGTGGTAGAAATTCCGACTTGGGGTCTGCTTCAACCTCCTAGTGCAGGGTTTGGGGCAAAGGCTGGAGGGAAGCGCCACTGGTGGCAAAGAGCCAGAAGGCCTTGTTCCAGTGGGACTGTATCATGGCCTGGATGGAACTGGATGACCATCTCAGCCAGCTGAGCTTCCAGGCGCCAGTACCTGGCCTTGCACTCCCACAAGTCTTTCCTCTGCTTGGAAAGCCTATGCTCCTAGTCCTCGGTGAGTTGCTTCTGCTGAGCCTCTTAATCAATTTGAATTAAGCTAGCTCTTTTGCCAACTCTTGTGGTAGCTGCTTAGCTCCAACTGCATCCTGTTGGGGCCCTAAGGAGCCCGGGTGGGGAAACGATGAGGGCTGGGAGTGGGAGATGAGTAGAGGCCAGTGAGGTGCCCCTTGATGTGAAATTGAGTGGCCACACCCACCCAGTCACATGACCACCTAGCCATGCCCACCCACCCACTCATTAGGCAGATATTAGTGGTCCGCGGGATCTAAAATGAATTTAGTGGTCTCTGAGGCCCAAAAGGTTGGTGACCCCTGCTGCAAAGCACTGTGAAGCCATATATAAATCTAAGTGCTATTGCTGCTGTTATACCTGTTATACTATTTAGTCAAATAGACTTTGGCAACAACTTGCCTTTTCCTATTACCTTGACTTCTCAAGGCTTCAAGGTGCATTTAAAACTTCAGCCAGGCTTCTGCTATGAAATGGGTCAGAGAGGTTGTGGGCACTATTCTAGAAAAAAATCCCAAAGCAGATATACAACAGGGAAGCAGGCATGTTTCCTTTATATGGGACGTAAAGGGTCATTAAAAAGTCTGAAAATCTAGGTCGGGTGCAAACTCGATTGCATTGAGGGCCATATCAGGGTTGTTTGACCTCGGGGTGCCAGAGGGTAGGTGTGGCCAGCATGACATCACTTGTGTCAAGGGGCGCCTGTGGTAGCCAGAGCACTCTGCTAGCGAAAATGAGTTCCCAAGTTCAATTTTTGACTGCAACGGCTCCCTGCCACCCTCTACCAGCTAAAACAGAGTTCAGGAGGGCCATGCACAGCCCTCACAAGCTCAATTTTTGCTGGCAGAGGCACTGTGGGGCAGTCCTGTGCTATTTCCAGGGCAGCCCCACGGGCCAGATGTAAACATTCCATGGGCTGAATCCAGCCCCCAGGCCTTGAGTTTGACATCCCAGATCTAGATTGTCCAATAGCACTTTAAAAAAAAAAATGCAACATTCCCGAACTAGATTGAAATGGGCCCCATTTCAGATCTGGGGATAAATAGGTCTCCAGCAGCAGGGAAGAAAAACCCATCATTTACTTCTGTCATCTTACCTTATATCTTTTGAGCAGTTTACCACTTTGACTTGGAACATGCTCTGTCTGACATAGGCAACGTTCCTGCTTGATCTCTGCAAAACGAGTGAATTTATTCAGACGATGCAGACAGTTTCATAGATCATTCTATGACTACTTTCGTATATAGGTGACCACATTGAAAATACAATAATGATAATCAGAAGTGCAGGTGGGAATGGGGAAAGATTATACAAAGCCCAGAGAATGCAATTCTAGGCTAATTTAATTTGTAGTATCTCTGAGGCGGGCGGAAGTCTAGTTGTTACCTAAGCAGAATTATCTTATGGAACTCTGCCATCCTTTTTACGATACTGTTGTATGATGATGATGTTATGATGTTTTCTTGCACATCTTGTAAGATCAGCACAAACTATTAGAACACATCTATCAGAACAAGTTTTGTGTAGTTGTTAAGGTATAGAAACCAAGAGATGTGACTTCTAGTCTTGCCTTAGGCATGAAGAGCTGGGTAACCTTGGACCAGTCACTTCCTCTCAGCGAGGAGACCAACCATTTTCAAAAATGTTGCTAAGAAAACTGCATGGACCAGTCCAGGCAGTTGCCAAGAACGAAGACTGACTTGAAAGCACAAATATCAAATTGCCAAGAACGAAGACTGACTTGAAAGCACAAGCATCAAAGTGGACCGGCATCAGTCCACTTAGTGGACCGGCATCGTTCAATATCCAAGTGGACCGTTCAATATGCCTAGTGGTCCGGCATCGTTCAATATCCAAGAAATAAAGTTCTCTTTTTGAAAAAGATGTGTGGTGTATTTGGTAGAGCTGTTCACATGGCATGCTTATCTACAGTTTATCTAATTAAATTTCCTGGATTTGTACAGCATACTGTACTTCATTACATGACATAGAAAAGAAAGAGGCAGTTTGAATTGCTTCCATTGCATTTCAAATTCCCAGAGGTTGGGGAGGAGCTGCTGGCTGCTTGTGAAGGAAGCAGAAGGTGAGTAGAAA